AACCACGGGGCGTTTGCAATTCTCCAAATGGTACTGCACAGAAATGTACCGGGACACTTAGAGCCAGGGACTTAGTCGTGTACACATGTTTTGATTTCTTTACCGAAGGCCGACAAGTTGCAGTTCACTACCCCACACGATGCGGGGTTGATTCACCTACGATGGTGTGCTCAGCGAATATACATTTCGTAAACTCTGCTGGCTACCTGGGTGTTGCTGGCAAGAATTCGGCTTACGGGCGATACAGTATTAATAAATCGCTAACCAAACGTTGCCGACAGATCTTAGTGGCGTCGTTATCAAGGCGTCATCGGTTAAGCATTTGGTCCCTTGTTCCAACCCTAGCTCCGGTTATCACTACCTGATGAGTGCAAAGGAAAACGAGACCGCCGGTTATGGAGTGTCAGTGTCGTAACCAAACAACACCGAACTCCTCCATTTAAATAAATAAATAAACAAATTTGTACTCTCTGCTGTGCGCGGCACGCCATTAACGGCTTGATCATAGTAATAATACAATAATTGATCAAGAAATGTGCAATAGTATAATAGGATTTCATATACTTGGATCCATAAATGTAGGTATATAGGTCGATGTTGCTTATGTTCGTAGATGTGTTGCTGTCCTTTTGCATGAGTTTGATCGCGTCGTCAGTGTCTAAAAGAATGTTTGACGCTTGTGGATTTCATAAGATTGTCCGTCTAAGCAAAGGCGGTGACTTTATTTAGAGGCGACCCACATCCGCCATGTCACAGTGTTGTTAAACAGAGATTTGTGGCTTTTTATAGGGAGAACGCTTGTCAGGCAAAAATCTACCACGTCCTGGAACACTGCCGCCGAACTACTTGCTGAAACTAGTTAAAGCCAAACCGCCCAGCTGGCAGCACGGGGAGGTTGTTCAGCTAGCATATTGATCTGAACCACCCAGCTCCATTTAAACGAAAAATCGGGTTCCAATAGATATTGTGTCGCAATCCATCCACGCGACGGGCACTACACGGCTTACTTTTGCAAGTTCCATCCTGCTTACTTAGTTCTTATTTCAGCATAGTGAACGTGAACAGTTTCGCATTTCTTTGCAAAACACCCGGACGGTGCTTGACATAGTGTCCGGTTTGGACTCATTTTACGTAACAGCTTTCCTTTTAGAGCCACCCGTGTGCGTACTTCGTTCGTGGGTGTAAGCTGTTGCATACTCTTTCCTGTATCAGAACCGAATGTCCCGCTTGGAAAACCAGCTGTTGAGAACCGTTCCATACAAGAAAAATCGTAATTTTGCAGTTTGCTACAATTGGCATACGCCACCGTCCAACGAATTTTTGTCTCCATGTGAAACTTCAAAAGTGTTATGTATCTTAAGCACCCTGCGCTTTCGCTTCTTTGTCAAGAACAGAACGATACTGAAGTATTTAGAGTCCATTTAATTCAAAATATTCCAAACATAGAGGCTACTTGGAACTAGAGGGGCCACAAATACAAATAAGCCATTTTAAACAGTCGGCTAGACTCGGCAAATCTTTTACTCTTTTCGTATCTGCCAGCCATAAAACGCCTTCCCAAATTACGTCGTTCCCGCCGCCACCTTAGTCGTGGCTAAAATGGTGTTGGCGGTGCCGCAGTTCACCTGCATAACCAGATGGTGCCTATATACATGAACAGAAGATATGGGTGTCATGAATGCCCAACGTGCAAGCGGAGTGGTTTCCTGTGGGAAACTGTATGAACCAGATGAATCAGTAATGGTCAAGGAAACTCACACTCATCTACGCAATTTATGTTGAGCGTTGCGTAGTGCACACTGCTTTTGTGTCTAGTGGTTGCGTGGCTTGCAACGCTTATGTGTCCGTTCCTAGCATGCATACAAATGCGGTTCTAATGCGTCCCTTTTCGTTCGGAGAGTCATTATGGCCCGCTGTTGGCTCGTTGCAGATTGCTTATCTGCAATACTACACTACTGACAACCGGCGCAGTAGTGTCTGCCTTTAGTTCACCATGTGATAATCCTTGCACAATCACCATTGGCCTACACAATCGAGGTGGACTCGTTTATGCTTGCCCCGGGATGAACATTGTTGAGTCAACCAAAACGATTTTCATTTTACGTCTTGGTTTCCTTCACACTTTTCGTGGTTCTCATCCTGCCCATCCTACGGAAATTGTTAGGCGTCTACATTTTTACCCATAATCCGGCATTATATTGAAACAAAAGACAAGTATTAATAACGGGGACAAAGTGGGCGTTTGACAGGTCCTGTAGGATGATTGAAGTGTGGATTACAAAATCAAAGGTAAAAGGACAGACTGGGAAAATTTGAATTTCAGGTGACTCACTTGAGCATGGCTGCAGGTATCACCCTGCAATGTTACAGTGAGGGCTGATGAGCACATAGTTTGGTTCGCGCCGTTTTACCTTCTGGTTGAAACGGATTATATCACCTGATGCAAACGGGATAACACGTCATCAAGGCTTTTTTTAAAAGCATGCATATAGGGGTAAAACGAAGTGAGTTGCAAATGCGTTCCATCTCTTGGAGACCAGGACGGAGGAAAATGTTGTCGATAATTACCGGCATTGCCAACTTAATTGTAATTAAATCGACTGTAGTGTATGGCAGATTTGAGATAATGTCCTCTCAGATTATTATTTTGGGTGCGTTGCACCGAATCACGACACGCATGATTTAGATTATGAGACTACCTTGCAGACGTCAATATTCACCTCAGTGCAATCTAATTACTTACTTACTGGTACGCCAAGCTTGCATCGCATATTTCACACGAAACCTCACGTGGGCATTTCGTATTTTCGGAAAGATCAAAGACTGCAACTTCCCCAACGCCCTCTGCAGGAAACCAAGTACTGATGGACTCTGCTGGATGCACTTCGGTCTATTTCGAGCAACCAAACTCGTCCTGCCTATTTACTACGAGATAGCCTCCCTTCGTAGCATATTGCAACTGCTGGCCCCAAACTCGCGATTCATGGGCCAGCTGGGGGCGTATGCTCAACACTGCATTTCGTCAACTTAAACTAGATCCTCTTTTCTTTTGACTAGATACGGGCCCGGTGGATAACTTTCCGCAGTCCAGTATGGTCGTCCACTCTTTGGTGCCATGCCAAGTCTTGAAATCGTTTGCAAATGGTGGCAACTTTGACGGTATCACACTGGTAGGAGTGTTGACTAAGGCTAGCGATAAGCCTGCTCGCCGTATGGATTGTTGGGGAACACCATACTGGACTTCAAATGGGTCGGGAAATGCACTGGGAACTCCCGCAAGCATTTGGCGTTGAATGTTGCCTATCCGACACGAAACAGGGTCACTGAATCCACAGCTATGAGATGTGTGAAGGAAATTGCTGTGGTCCAGGCGGTAGAATGGTTTTGAAAAGTCCAGACAGAGGACATCGATTCTTATTCTAACTTCGACAGATTCTGCCCAGTTTGCTTAGGCTTGCAGCAAGTTTGTAGTGCAAGCTTTGAAAATGAAACCTGAGGAATCCTACACCGTGATCTCCCCACTACCATGGCTCACATGTTAGCGGAATTCTTACTGAAACTCACCTATACGCAAGTAGCACATAGCATTTATTCTCATCGACGCAACATCTTAAGATAAACTTCCTCCAGTTTCGTGAAGTTTAAGCTATCTCAATGGCTGTGGTGTCCACTCCAAACTACAGGGTTGTTTAAGGGTTCAACTAGTCATATTATTTTGTTTAGCATGATTAACCACATTTGTTATTTCACTTTAATGAATGCGGTGTCTATTTGGGTAGACGCTAGCTACTTAGGGGAGGACGCATTCTTTTGCAATCCTGGAAACTCTAGAAGTGTTTTTGATTTCGCCAGGAGTTCAGCAACTAAACCACTTGGATTCTAAATCCTCATGAATGCCATATCTCTAGACTTATGGAAATTGATTTTATTGAGTCAACCGTCATCATTACCATGGTCTTCACTCGGTTTTGCAAAGTTATTTAATCATCCCAAGAGAGTATGAAGGGTTTTAGCAACAGTAAACTATTTTGGGATTAGTGGGTTTACTGTAGCGCAACGCCTTCGCAGTAGGGCAGTGTCCTCGAACTCTCTTGTCTAACTTGTCAAAACCTCGTAGATGCCTTGCACATGTGTTAAGGTGAAGGTTAGGTGGGTCAGTGGAACTTATTCTATGCCCACTTTCAAGCATGCACACACATACACACACACCTCACATCACCCTTTCCCGGAACCGACCAGTATGTCCTGGGTTCACTTTTGTCGAAGTCAATTTACTCACAACTTACGGGTAACGCACTTTACATTTCTATAAGTCTAGCGGTATTATCCCATTCATGGGCATTGCAACGTTGTGCAGATGAGAGCTATCGGCCAGACATCAACACAGCACTAGTCCCGTCTCGCAACTGGTGTGGTAACACCGAATTTGATGCGGCAGCCGATGTAGTGGGTGCATAACGTCCTTAGATTAAACAGTACCGCGTCCTACTACTGAACAATTTATTCTCCTATAGTACGTCAGAACCGACAATCGCAACAACAGCTCTTGCTCAAACCCTCTTTGCTTACCGTCCTTTGTAACTCTTGTTTATACCTGCGCTTCAATGCACCTGATTACCGTTAACCAGACGAGGAACTGACATTTCAAATATGCTACCGTTTGGCTGAGAATCATGCTTGCTGGTGTGTTTAACACCTTGTCTTCTTGCACCTACGAAAGAAGTGCACATTGTTTGTTCGAATATAAATGCGGGACCGGTGTATGCCAAAAGGGTAGAGGCCGGGATTCTACATTCCCATTGGCCTCCTTGACTGGCCCAGTCGGATGCACACGTATTGGTGTGACCGGCTGTCCACTTTGCAACACAACTATCGGTTTAAAAGATAGGTATAGCTGCCTACCAATTCCTGCCTGCTAGTAGCCTCCAAACATATTGCACAGCTACGTAGTTCCATTGATCTTGGCATAGAACAAATCATCATCTCGTTTTTTTCTGCAGACGAAACATACAACAGTGGGTTTCAAAGAGGTTCCTTCAAACGTGCACCTACGACAGAGAACATCCGGAATATCGATACTGTCCAATTTTCAAGCTATCCACAATATTCAAGGAGGCGATGGTCGACAAATCTATATTTGTAAAGGTGAGACGGGAAGTTACGTAGTAAAATCAATTTTCCACACTGGTCCATCAAGCGATCGGAGAAGAAAGATGTTTTATTAGTTGTCACTTGGAATTTGCGCATTCACTTCGGCCAATTCTTCATAGTACAACTGTAAAAATACATGGCGAACTTTAGATGTCAGAACTTTCTAGAGGCACAGGTTTTTGAATCCTGTGCATTATATTATAGTTACTCAGCCGCACAACGAAATTATGATACAACAGATTGCCAGACGTGAAACCGGTTCCTTAGGGTTGTTATAAGAGCTAGTCCATATATGTGTTATTGCGATTATAATTTCTGATCTATCGTTGTATGACTGCGTTTTCGCAGTAAAGGAACAGGAATTGACGTGTTGGAGAATTACGACAGCTGTCTGACCCGGTTTTGCTTTATGGGGTGGTGTTTTTTCCACTGCACCTGGGGGTACGTGGCAAATTCTTCGTCATTCCGCGATAATAAGTCACCAGTTTGGGGTAGCATTACTCTCGGAACTAGAAACCGAGTAACATACCAAGCTTAATGATTTCAAAGGGTGCTTAGAGGTTTTAATTTCTCACCATTTTGCTTCTGCATCGCTTTGTACGATAAAGGCGAAATGATATTGTGGTATTCCAGCTTTCGTCAAATCCCATCATTTCACGTCGTTAACGATCCGCACCTCATTCGCGCCATATAGTTTCCAACTGCATAGTTTTAGTGAGAATTAATGTATGAAAACAGAGTTTGGTAGGTTTCGGCCACCTAGATTCGTAAGACAGGTTTATTGCAGCTATATGAGCTTAAGCAAATAGGATGACTTCCTTCACATGGCGCGATGAGATTGTGCTGCGATACACACTCACAGTTGAAATCTTGGCTCACAATGAGATACAGTATGCTCAGCTTCACCAATGAACGTATAGTCATTGGAGATCTCAACTCTTGGCCTTAGAAACTCTCGCCTTTGTATTCCCAACTTTGTCTTTTTATCTACCTTGTCAAGATTAGGATAGTCTCGGAAGGCGTTTTCCTACATTGACAAATGCTTCAGTATTACTTAGGTACCAAGCACGCAACGCGGTTTGGAACTTTGAGCTATCTATGTTAATGAAAGAGCAGAAAGCGCATGGGACTATTTTCAAGATTTCATCCTGTAGACGATGGCTGAGCGGTCAGGCTTTTGACTTAGTGCCCAATGACGGTGTGCTGGCAGTCTCAGTTATGCTAAGAAACCTCACTGCATTGGTAGAAGCGGCGATTGGGTTTTTTTCCTCATGGCAGTACTAGTTTACTTGATACCGATGGAGCAATGTGAAATACTGGTTGTTCAAGAATAAAAATATTAAAACAAATTTGGGAGGATCAAGGACTAGAATTAAGCAAGAGATAGCACTTAGCTTACTGCTTAACTCGATTCTGAAGATCCCATCTAGGCGAACAGTACACACCAGAATGACTTTATCGCGGGGTCATTTCGGACATCTATGCACCATGTGAGAAGCGAGGCTTCATTCAACCGCTTGCAGTGTTCAGAAAAAGGAAATTTTCTCACCCCTCTGGGGCTACTCATTTATACCGCAGCATCCGGTAAAGAAAGCCGTAACATCTGCACCAACCAGCTGACTGCGGTATTGACTGAGTTGCTGAATCACGACCTAGTCCGTGCCTCATAGTAGAACTGCAATTCCGGAGGAGCATCGAACAAGTATGGTTTCGACCAGAACGAGTCTGGATTGGTCAATGTGTCCTGCAGCAGCTTTACTAGGATTCACAGGAACTAATGTCGTTGTTGAATTTTAAGACCCCGTACAGGTCAAATCGTCGCTTCGTTTGTCTCAATATGCCTAACTGGAAAGGTGTCCTAATGAAACACACGAAACTGTGGCATTCTCAAGGCCAATGTACTGAGCCCTTTCTATTCGTTGCCTGCCTCTGACAGCGTGAGTAACTAGCTCACCCACTCATCCATTGGCCTAAATTTAGAATGCTGGATCGATGCGTTGTACAATATGCAGGTTAGAATACAGTTTGGCCTTCCGTTTGCCTGACATGATTTACTTTGCGATACTTCGGCCACGCGCCAGCAGTTGAGTGCTAGTTCCGCAATTGATAAACTGTGACAGAACCTTTACCGTTTTTGCTAGGCGGACACCCCGGGTCACGTCCTGGTCTGCGGTGAATCGTCAACTATCCGCCATAGCTATCGCCTTTTCTCACTTACATTCGGTTTTCTTATAACCTTTATCATGGCTTGTTCATTCGAGAAGTACCATACACCTTGGACGGCCAGTTGCTCCACCCTAACACATCTGTCAGAGACTTAGGAGTTCTCTCAAGACATGATTTAAGATCACTAGAAAAGACAGGGAAATTGTACCGTGCGGGACTTCGTATGCTCTGGGCATTACGACGCAGTTTCTCCACATGGTCCGAAGAAACCGTCCCTCGTCTATTCACCTCGCTCATTAGACCAATCCTTGAATACGATGCCCCAGCTTACCATCCGATAACCCAATGGGAAACTGAAAAACTGGAGAAAATACAGCATATCGCAACTAGAATGATACCAAGTCTACGAAAGCTTCCATATGAAAAACGTTGTGAAAAGCTCGGACTCTACACACTATCCTATCGCCGAGTAAGAATTGATCTTATTATGACCCATCGAGCACTACACTTGAATCACTTCCCCATACTGCAGCCAATATTTCACCTGCGAGAACCCTGTAACACCCGAGGACATCGTTACAAACTCAGGGTCCCCAGCATGAACAAAGTACCACATCAGCTTTGTATCGAACGAAGAATCGTAAACTTATGGAATACACTACCAGAAGGAGTAATAGAGGCCGATTCTGTGAAGTGTTTTAAAACCCGTATCGACGATTATTTTGGAAACCTGTGCTTTTGTGAAACGATGCACATACAGTGCCAAAAGAAGACATTGTATGTCCGGAAATAATGACGCTAGTACAAATTTCTAACCGAACACGGATAAACGATTAACCGACCAGACACAACTACTGATAATTCACAAGTACATTTTGATTTCTCGTAATTCGATAGGGTTGTACAGAAACCTTTCTACTTGCTCTTAAATACAGTCTCAGTCTCAGTCTCAGGAGGCCAGTATCTAATTCTTTCTCCGGAGGAGAACTGGTTGCTTTGGATTTTGAGGAGGATATCTGTTCGCTGTTTTAGAATCATTAGCCAGTACTGTCTACTTTCCACAAGTTTCCTGGGTAGCACAGTCCTTTGGCCTGATTTCCAGCTCTTTGAAACCGCTGTAGCATTGGAAACCTCTGCTTACTGGTTCCACGATCGGAAGCTTGTATCTGTTGATGGAGTTCACGTATCCTGAGAGTTGCGATGGTAGTAGTGACTTATGGCTTTTAAAGGTTATCCAGACGTTAGGGCATCCAAAAACTGTCATTATGAAGCTGCGATATCAATGGCATCATAATGGAACCACTTTTGATCCTAGTGGCCTTGCCTTCGGATTACGAGGCAAGGATTACTAGCCCGCCTTGCAACCTGAAGGTCCGCAGTTCGAATCCGCCTATGTGCGGTGCTCTCACGTTACACTTATCCCACACGCGACTGTTGATGGCTGTGAGGCAGCAAAGCATCGACACCGTGCACTCGCGTAATGCTGCTGCCTCTTAGTAGCCTTGAAACGGGACTGCGGTAGAAGTGACTCACCTCTCTGCCCGTGAAACTTGTCTCAGTTTGAAGGTCCCGGTTGCCTTCATCTCTGAGGTATCGGTTGCGTATGGGGCTTTGCCAGGGTCTGGAGATGCACCGTCAGATACTAGACGACGATGGCGAGGTTAGTTGTCTAGGTCAACAAACAAGACCGCATAATCCAGTAGATTAGGGCACATATTATCCATGCTTGCTCATCGCCCACTGAGAAAAGTTTTGCTTTGTCTACTGGGTGTTTGCTACAGTTAATAAATCCCGGTCCAGTGTTGGGAAATGCATTTGATGGCCACGCAAATAGAGGCCAGCGGTCCACCACGCCTATCATGTTGGAGGGCGCGAGGCACATTCTGTGTTCTACGAGAGACATTGTGGTAAATAACCAGCAACAGATGGTGGCGCATCGCTGGTCCGAGAACTCACCGTTTTGTTCTCGAAAATTTGGTCGAAAGAGAAGGTTCCATCATCTTGGGGTGAATCGATAGTCGTACCCATCTTCAAAAAGGGCCTGCGCACAATCTGCTCCAACTACAGAGGAATAAGTTTAGTCCCCGTCGTTTGCAAGCTGCTGGTGTCCATCATACTTCGCAGGCTATCCCCAACACGCGAATCGTTGCAGCGAGAAGAACAAGCTGGGTTTCGCCCTGGTCGCGGCTGCATCGATCAAATCTTCACACTTCGCCAGATCCTCGAGCTCCGCCATGTGTATCAGAGGCCAACGATTGCTGTGTTCCTGGATATCCGTGCTGCCTTCGATTCTGTCGATCGTACAGTACTGTGGCAGTGCCTTCTGAGGAACGGTGTCCCCGAGAAGTTCGTCTCCATACTGCGCGCTCTGTACAGTCTGACCTCGGGCAGGGTTAGGGCTTATGGCATGCTTTCGCCTACCTTTGTGGTCTCCAGTGGAGTTCGACAAGGATGCCCTATCTCTCCGTTCCTATTCAACTTTGCCATCGAGGATGTCCTGAAGAACGCTCTGAGCGATTCGTTGAACGCTGGCGTTGAGCTCCTCCCAGGTAGTCGAGTTGTTGATTTGGATTATGCTGATGATATCGTCTTGCTAGGTGACGATCCACAAGTCGTCCAACTTGCATTAAACCGCTTGACGATTGAAGCATCAAAGCATGGTATGTGCTTTTCGCCATCCAAATGCAAGGCTCTCCTTCAAGACTGGCAGGTGCCTCTGCCTGCACTCACGCTTGCTGGTGAGACACTGGAGGTTGTGGAGAGCTTTGTCTACTTGGGAAGTTGCATCACTGCTGGCGGGGCTGTTGGAGACGAGATTTCGATGCGCATCTCGAAAGCACGCCTCGCTTTTTCTAGGCTGAGGCATTTGTGGCGTCGCCACGACATTCGTCTCTCCATCAAAGGGCGGGTCTATTGTGCAACTGTTCGTGCTGTACTGTTGTACGGATGCGAGACCTGGCCCATTCGTAAAGATGACTTGCGCAGGCTATCCGTCTTCGAGCACCGCTGTCTGCGGTCCATTGCCCGTGTGTGGTGGCAGCACCACGTAAGCAATGTGGAAGTTAGACAGCGTGTCTTGGGACGTGGAAGCCACTCGCTCGAGGAGCTCATCTCACTGCATCAACTGCGGTGGTTGGGACACGTATTGCGCATGCCTGTCCAGCGTTACCCCCGTCGTGCGTTGTTTGCACTTGCTGGACAGGGCTGGAAGAGACGGTCTGGTGGACAGCCTACAACATGGAGAAGCCGCATGAAAAAGTTGACGAAACAGTTGGCCTCGGCCGGTTGTTGTCGACTACCTGGTTGGGGTCCGAGAGACGAGGATACTTGCTGGTTGAAAACCTTGGAAGTTATGGCTCAAGATCGATGTCAATGGCGGACGTGTGCATCAGTGTGTTGCGGTGTCCCTTCCTCCTCCCCCTAAAAACGAACAAACTGAAAAAAAAATTTCAAAAACTGTGAGTGGTAAACTTGACAAAAAAAGCATTTCTTGTTGCTCTTATTATTCATATTGTTTTCCTATTCAGCCATGATTCCGATGGCACAATATCTGTACCACAGATTGTGTATAATATATATATATATAACCAGCAACAGATATCAGTGAAGTATTTGCTGTCTTCCAGCCGTACTGCCGCCTTAAACAGCACATAAAGTCGGTATTTTCCTGTCATCTAAAAAGCTAGTTTTAGTTATACCCGTGGAGTGCACAGCAAATGGTCGTCAGATAACTATCCTCCTCGTTGTTGTCAAGGGGGTGGAGATACAATCCTCATTGTTCTTATGACAATGCGTTGGTTGACGAGACCCATTACTTATCACCTTGTCTCTGCAATTGGCCTATATCTGAAATCTTGGGGGTCCGTAGCTGTATTTCTGGGGTCTAACAAGAATGATATTTCCAAGTTAGCTGCACTGAAGTCGGCGCCACCATCTTTAATGCTGTCTCCTTGAAATCATCAATCCTCTATGGGATTCCGCAAATAATTTTCGCCTAAGCAGTGCTCCTGTCATGAATCAGGTTAGGGTAAAGCTCTCACTCTGTGTAGTTTGGCTCGATGCACATCCCTGCGATAACTTTGGTTAGGGTGAGGCACCATCGGGCAACACTCCACGTGCATCTTTACCATAGCACTTGCTCTAAGTGGTGACCGTGGATGCTATCGAACCCAGAAGAGATTGTCTTATCTCTTCACCTAACCTACGGTATCACGTGCGTTTGGATGGGCCTCAGATTCTACTCGCTTTGACCGGGACTGGAGCATAGGCGTGATGAATTGTAAGTCATTTTACAGTCCTTTTGTGTGTAGGGGTTCTTTGGCTCATCTTGCTCATCTTTTACATAGATTCCAGCCTCTGTCAACTCAGAAACGGTATGGACCGATATCCAACATCCAAAAAATCTGACAAGTGTGGTTTGTGCCAAGGATCCTATGCGTTCAACGAGCTAGTAGACCAACCTTATGGTTTACTTTGACCTCTGTAAAATAGATACATGCAGTTCTCCATGGGATTATTCAGGTCTCAAAAATCCATGTTCTAATCGGTGCATTGCAAAGTCCCATTTCCGTTTGCAGGAATCCTTTGGGGTCATTTAGAAGCAGTATTGCTTCAGACACACTGTTTGTCTTCGATTATGATGCTGCTTTTGCAGGGGTTACCATTGACCCTTACTCGCGTCGTCATCCACTTGCTAGCTTAGACTTGTCTCAGATGTTGGCGCACAGTTCTGCACATACACTGCGGGAAGGGTAAGGAAACACACATTTGTTTGTGATACTCACTGGCGATCAACTTCTGCATTTGCATATTGATGCTTCTTGATTTCGACCGAGTGCATTAAGTGCGGGCTCGATTAATTCACTTGAGGTAGGGAGTCAGTGTATGAACAGTGCATTTTCAGTGCGCACAGATCAACCCATCTTCTAAATTATGCCTATTACGAACAGTAGAATTTCATGTCGAATCTTGAGATCACCGAGGTCTGTGTATTCACCTAACATAACCACTACTCTTATGATGATTACATACACTTGAATGCAAAGGTAACCGGGAACAACCATGGACAAGTGTATTTCCAAACATCTTTTCAAATGTATCCACCGGGACTGTCAAAAGAACCGGAAGTATGAAACAGTTTGTCGCCACTATAAAGCCATGCTAACTATTCTGTAACCGCCACCGACTGTGGGGTGGTGTGGCTTTTACGGTTGGACTAGTTGAGTTGCGTTTTGGGCCCATGGGTAATCTGGACATATTTCCTTTTGTGCACATGATTCTGGGTTACGAAGCCGAGTACCGACAGCTCTTTTTATCCATTGTTGGGTTATTTTGCCCATACAGATACCATTGGAGTGAACGTTTCGTAGGCTGACAAACCGGGTAATTCGAAGCAACCAAATGCAACTGGATGGATGTTCCAACAAAAAGTCGTCGCATATCTGCTTGTACTAAACTGCTCATGCCTTCTTTGGTGTGTCTGGTTTAACATTGAGAGTATACATCTTTTATTACAATGCCTAGTTGACCAGAACACCAAACACTCTCTCTGTATTCTTTCAACCAGGTGCCTACTAAAATAAACCACGGAACGTAAATGCACTGAAGAAACCGTCCCGAGATATCCTGTGTGTTAACTTGTTGGCTTACCACTGACGTAACTTTAGAGCATAAGTCTAGGTTGACTGCACAGTTTCATTTCACTGTTACATTGGTGGGCATCATGAAGCCTCATTTTGCTTATTGCTTTTATGTACAACCATGAGCGAATAGAAAGCATGATGCTGGATTTCATTTTAACACTTAGTGCCGATAGCTCTCTGTGCCATTGTTATATGGAAACCAATTTCAGCCAAAAACAACGTTCGGCAGATAGCATGGCCCCCATACACATGGTTTCTGGTGTATCGATGCTAAGTTCATGTTTCTGACTTAGTTTCGAAAATGGATACACTCGTACTTTTCCGGGGATAGGCCCGTCAGCTGTTCGTTTGTTCTGTAGAGTAATGCTGCCATTTGGATACCGCGAATCGCCACGGTAGTAAATTGTGTGTACGGTTGAACATGATCACTAGAACCTCTGCACAATTAGGCCATTTCGGGCCTAAACCATGTTTTCTACATACCGACCATAATATATCTCGTTGTCGACCAGTCGTATAGGCATTATCTGCATCCCATCCATAATTATGTTCATTAGCAATAAACTGGATGACAAGACCGTGATTATGCATTGTGCTGCAATTTAAGTGTGTCGTTAGGGTATCTATTTAACTGAGGGCTTTAATACACCACTACGTGGTGGCGCGCTCTGTTGACTAGAAGGCCTGATTCGTACCGATCATGTTCTTCCAGCGCAATTATCCTAAGAGGCCAGAGAGCAGTATTGACCCTCTACCCTGTGACGTCATAAGACTGGGTGAATAGTTTCGATGTTCCAACAGTTAATCCTGTTGGTAACAAACAGCAAACGCTCACGGTCCTGTCCCAATTTCAACTCTCTGTTTGTTGTTTCAACCGTAGTTCAACCGGCTGGTATTGAGTCAGTTCACAACATCTTACCACAGAAAACGTAAACCTGGCGGATGCTTTTCCATGGTCATCAGCTTTCCAATCTTTTCACCGTTATGAGCTTAGGATTGAGTCATCCATATGCACAATCATTTGCAACCGAACCCATTTGACTCAGTAAGGAGGAACTTGATTCTCAACTTTATATGCGCGACTATTGCAGCGAAAGACGAATACAATGTTTGAAGCCGGTCTGACAACAAGTTCCTCATTAATAGTAGAACTTCAGTCGGCGGAATGAAAGGCGTTTAGTCCAGCGCACGTAACGATCTAGACTAGGTAAACATGCGCTTCACATTCCGAACACACGGTGAGTCCTGCAAAAGGCATTTACTGCTTTCATAGTTGAATGGAATCCAGCTACCTACATGCTGCTGTATTCTCCGTTGTTAAACATTTGCAACCTCGAATTGTAGTCAGCGATATACGTAAGCATATGGCCTAGTTATTCACTTGTTACCTCTTAGACCTTTAGAAGAAGCCAGTTTATCAAGTTTCATTTTAAGTATGAAGTTTGTGGGATTTGAGAACCGAGATGCAGCTTACTTCGAAATGTGCAGAGCCACATTTGGGGCCATATGTGGAGTAACTCGGAGCAACTCTTTTCTCATTTATAATAACAAACTACCATTCATCTTTTCGTAACCACGGGGATGTTCATTTCTGTCTGCGAATGCGGTTGGTTCACTTACCTATCTTTTCCGCTCAGGGTGGACTCATTGGCATTGACATCGAGTGGGATTGTGATTTAGACTGGGATGAGAAATACTGCAACCCCACATACTCATTTGTCCGTCTGGATGACGCCAAAGCTCCGATAGCGGCCGGATTTAATTTTCGGTGGGTCACTCTAGTGCTTCGGATCCCAAGAGATGTTTTCTTTCGTCCTATTGTTTGCACACCCACGCATTCCAATTTATTTTCACACACTCTGATTAATCATTCATTCCAATAGTGCATACCTAACTCAGTCATCTTTTGTTCTTCATCTGATCAAATTTGTATGTGTTTTTGGTTTAATACTATGTTTGAGTTTCGGCAAGTCCCAGCCAACTGACCTGCCTTAGCATCTCACCCTTCCGGAATAAGCCACAAATCTGAACGTTAACCAGTCGGCCTCTAGAGTCTACCTAGATCTAGACTAGTTAGATGTCCATAAATGTACAGCCCAAGCAACTAACAAACGGTTCATCAAATCTAGGTTTTCTCTTTCTTGTCATGTTTCTCCATGGTTGGTTATCTCATTGCTTACACCAATGGGATGCAGCTTTGTTTATGTTTAGCGTTCAGACAAAAATATTTCCTTTTTCACAGGGGTAATTTTTCTAAATTTCAGTCAGATTTTTTCATCTTATGACCTTGGCCTCTGAGAATTGAGTATAATCGAAACGCATAGGGCATATGAGGACATATTGGAGCTCCATTTGATGTGGGGTTTCGGAGGTAAGCCATAATAGCTTCGTTCTCATTCACTGCCATATAAAGCAAAGGTGCTCTCACAGTGAAGAAAAGATGGACTAGTCTCACGACGGTTAGCCACCAGAACGGAAACAGCAACCAGGACGGCATTTGCATTAGCAGTCTTCACTCGTCACCTTTGAATGGGCGATTCACTGGGATCAATCGCAAGCACTTTTCGCCCTGCTTACGAAATCCTTGGCAGTTAAAATGTGTTAGGAAAACTGAGGATATCTACTGAATGCAGAGTCACCCTGCAATCGCTTACCAGCTCAGTAAGCGTGAATTTGCTAAAGTACTCAAGCCCTTAGAACACGAGTTATATGGATATACCGCTATCCTTACTGAGATGCAGCAATCTCGGGGGCCTCTTGGTCCACAGAAGGGGAGCTGGTCAGTCCATCAGAGGCAAAAGACACAGTGTTCAACTGCTCTACACCGGAACCTTCCACTAAACATCTAGCTGTCAGAGGAGTCACAAGCAGTTGATCCATACAGTTTGTTAAGCGTGACATTCCCACCACTGCCGATGTCCATTTGCTATGACGGTCGGCGACTATCAGCTCAGCTTGATACCACGGTACATAGGATGGGTGAACAGAATATGTGGGTATATGGCTGAGATCAAAACAAACATGAACCGTAAGCCTCTTGTGGCTTCCCTGATCCGTCTCGCGTCCGATGTGAACCAGTGACTATTCTTGAGCAAGCCATACTAGAGTTCTTTAAGTTTCACCATCGACCCGCTTTACGTCCACACGCTCGATTGTGCCGGTTATGTGGATTCAACACAGTTTCCACAGAGTACATTCTCAACTTACAATAACACCGCATGGGTAGATTATCTGAGTAAATGATTATATACATATAGGTGTATTGCTTGGAATTTAGTGGAAAATAAGAGATAACGCAGAATCGAACTGGGAGTAAAATCCGCGTGTTGATGAGCTCTCGTTTGTACTCTCGGTGGCTAGAAATATTTGTTGCTGTGACCAAAGATATTTTGTTACTCAGTATAATTATCGCTTATACAGCATTTAAGTTGAATCCCACCACTATTTCCCTCGATGTTCAGTTGTCTCTTTCTGGCTCTTTACCCCTGGCCGTCTATTTACTGCCATTAGTCAGAGACTGTTTCTTGCTCGAGCAATTCTGTTCCCCCTTTACCTGGATAAAGACCACCCTTCATTTAATACATGCAGAAGAAATTTTGTTCCGTCTTTCCACTCCTTGTTAATCTGTTGCTTTACCAGTATACGCCATGGCGGCCTTTATTGGGTGCCTGCCAACTGGCCCCGCGCTCCTTCCGCTTCTTGTTCAGGTAGTGACCACAGCACACGCACCTTTGACTGCCACCGTTCAGATGGTAAGATTCTATATCTTTGAGAATTAAGACTTCTCCCGCTCACGACAAATGGAACCAATATCACGTTGCTTATGTAATATGTACAAGTGTTGGTAATCGTTTGTCTCATCGGTGGATGCGCTGGTATAGACTAACTGTCTCGCTGTCCTCGATTTAATCCTCACTGCTGATGGGGCGTCAATTAGCCAGTACCACAGCCACCAGCTCAAAAGGTTAAACCTGAAAAAGCGGGTTACCCGATAACGAGCAAAATTATTATGAGCTACTTCCTCAGTATTTGTGATGCAGTACTAACGGAGTCCAAGGTTAATCGAGTAAGCGAACAAGGAATAATAAAGCAATTCATGATTTGAGCGAATCGCGTAAACAACAAACAAGCACTAAACGACCGGTTTCTCTCCTGAAAACAGTTATTTCTGTTTGCCAACCTCGGCCTTACTAACAGAACTCGGCCTCCTCAGGACAGAAATATGCCATCATGTCTAACAAAGCACGTCAATCACAACGCGAAAGAAAAGCGTGGACTCTAAGGGGAAATGATTGCACACCATCTTTCCAAATGATTTGCGACAGTTTAATCGAGCTATGAGCGGTGTTCATTCTACAGTGCTTGCTGCTTGCGCTAGCGTGGATTGCTGACGGCGTTTATCCTCCGTCACGTTGAGAAAGCGCTTGTTATTGACAAGTCGTGAAAAGATCGCAGTCGCATTTCATTTCATGTACCTAAACTTTCAACTACCCACATAACGCATAAATAAATAATTCGATTGCTTGCAAGAAGCTGACATAGACGAGATAAGAACCCTACAATGTGTCAAACGGAAAAACGCCCCAAGTGAACAGGCACACTGACTGACGCAAACGCGGAGGCAACTAGGAAAGACGGCGAGTCCACAACAACAAAGAATGCCAATTACGATTACAGCGGACAAAAATGCATTTTCCAACCAGTAAGTAAGCGGAGTTAACGCATCTGTTGCAAAACACCTCGTTCCCGGTTACAAATGGATTTCCACAAAAATGCACTGACAACTGCTGGGCTCATTTCGGACGCGCGCAACACAAGTCAAACCACAGCCAACACACTCATCGTCATCGTCATCCTCCTCCTCCTCCTCCTCATCATCATCATCATACGCGTTAGCTAGAGATGATATACATGTTAGCTATTGTGCCGCAACACGTAAGAAAATCGAAAGCAAAACATGCAACAGTGGCGCTCAAGCTAAGCTACCAGTAAATGATGGACATGGATTCGGAACTTAACAGCGGCTATTGTGCCGCAAAAAAGTCATATGCAATAGTTATATTATGCTAGCAAATGTGATCGGGGTTGCAGTGGGAGGCTAAGCGTGAGGGGGAGGGACAGTGAAACGCACAACACAAACGCCACTAAGGTCGGCCACTAGCCATATCAACAAGTGTACCCAGCCAGACATGTTCATTATTCTCCGTACTCTAACCGGAGAGCCGAGAAGCTCCAACGGGAGTCAACTTTAAACTAAGTGCCCTCATTCCTTTTGATAAATTCATCGCTTGGCCACCTCTCCTCTTCTTCCATTCACACCGTCGGCACGTAAAAACAACGCACGTCGTGAGAGTCGATGGGTTGGCATGCCCAACACCTGGCCGAGCCATCGGAGCCTGGTGCATGAAATAACGGTGCTAAGCGGCTCCTTTCCTCTTCCTGTGGCATAAGAAAGGTGCTGAACGCACTCCTTGCTCACCCGGAATTCCCAACATATATGAGTCAAATTGCGAAGGCGCTGGCGGTCGAATGTAAGTAGCCTCTTTTTGTCTACCAATTTAATGGGCCAAGTTTCACAACCGTACTGTGGGGTTAAACGTATGGCTGCATTCTAAACTCTGCCATTCAGGGAGAGTGCTGCCGCGCCATCTGTTGTTACTTGAACAGCGATGATTAATTAACGCTGTCACTCTCAGCAACCAGAGGTTGATAAACTGCTGGATGGAGTTGGCTCTAAAGTAACTAAAATTTCAGCTAGAGGACATACCACGTCAACGTACACAAGTACAATCTTATCGAAATCCAGTACTTGCATGATAAATGCGAAAATGAATGTCACAAACACTTAAGAACCTGTCTAGAAGCTAATACTTGAACGGTGCGATCAAGTCTGGGCGGATCTTCAAAGTTGTACGAATATAGAATCTTCGAGTAGCAGAAGCAGGTGTTTGGGCACGAACCGAAACATCAGCCTCAAGGGCCAGTTAAACTAAAACCCAACACCAGTACAATGTAGTACAAACTCTTAAGACAGAAACGTCGTAAAGATTTATTAGAAGTAAGAGTAGTTTACTACATAGTGAAGTGGACGCAGTTTTCATTTTTCATCTATATGATTTCAAGGGCTTGAAGGTCAACTCCCTGACACCCACTTTTCATCGAAGCATTTATACGGATAATCCAATCGGTGGAACATAGGTTGCAAGTGTTTAGTGAGCAGTCACGTCTGTTCTCGCAGACGGACTGTGGCGAGTTAAGGCTGTCTTACCCAACCACCTCGCATGATATGTGGATCGTAAGAACTACAGGATCCGGAGGCAAGTGAGTGGGCTCACAATTATCAGGTGTCTAGTTCACCTTCCTCCAGTAGCAAGACTGTCGTGTTTAGGCAAGCCCGTGTGATTGTGCAAGGCAAGGACACACAAAGACTGTGTAGATGCCACCACGGCAACCACCGTTTGGAAACGCAAAACTTCCTTAAGCAGAAGCATGCGACTGGCAATTTGGACATATCCCAATCCTAGATGGCCACAGTTCCTGGGTATTGTGAGGAAAAATTATGGAGTATACAATGATTTATAACCGGCAAAACGGTGAGTATGGCCGGAGTGAGGATTACAAACGCAAAGGTAAACTAATGGCAGAATAAAGGGAAAACTTCGGGTTTTAAGTGACACACCAATCTATTTACATGATACAAGTATCCTCATCGCTACGTTACAGAGGGGCCTGGTAAGCACATGGTTTGATTTGCGGCATTTCATCTTC